CTCCTCAGAATTTTAAGAACTCTTAGAGAAGATAATTTGATCCTGCAGTGAAGACTTTCCATCACTAAATTAGTCTCTGGTTAAAGCCATCACTCAGATTTCAGCATGGTAACAATACTTAAATAAGCAATTCATTCTACAGTAAAGACCATAAACCTGGATTGAATTCTGTTGTTACTTTGTTGACCTTACAAACTATATAGTCTCCTATTCACACCCAATCAGGTCCTTACTCTTCAGACTCACCTGAGGCGTAGGAGGTTTGTTCTCCTCAGCCCTTGGTGTATATTAACAATGGAAGGATTCTGGACCTTTAATTCTTAATGTGCTGCACAGATCATTCCTAGACTCACACAGCACCAGGGCACATGGACTTAAACACTGAAGTCTAGTAAGAACAAGCTGCAAGCATCATAGAAGTTATTTCTGCAGAGGACAATGGAAGGCTGGGTGCTGTATCTCCAGACAACCCAATTAAAACCACATATCCTGAAATTTAACAAACATTTCATCTCATCTTTAAAAATATTGTTTAACCTTTTGCCAGTTTTATAGAAAAACAAAACAAACAGCTCTAAAGCTATCTGTTCATCGAAATCAGAGTTTGAGAAGACACTATCTGTTTTATAAAACCTTTCAAGACTAATTAAATATTTTTGAATAGGTTGTAGGTTCTGTTTGTTTTGTTTTGTGTGACATCACTGTCTTTAATTCTTCAACTTTTTTCACTAAATTCAAGAAATTGATGATAAATCCTAATATTTACTTGTATATAAGGGGAAGAAAGATTTAAAAACAGAAAAATTCCAGAATCATTAAAATTAAAAGGTAAGCATCTGTTCCATTCTAGAATGGCATATTCCTTACTCTACACTTCCTTCTGTACCTTGTTTTATTAAAAGAAAAGAAGTTTCTCCAACACTTGCTTTAAAAATGCTAAGATTATATAGGCACTATAACTATTTCATTTTAAAACTAAAAACAAAGATGCCTCTTGGGAATATCATGCTGAGCAAAGAGGGTCAGACAGAGGGGGTCAGGGGCCATATGATTTCACTCATATATGGGATATAAAACTGGAAGCAACAGATGAACAAGCAAGACAGACAAATGGAAAATCATGGACACAGAGAGCAGTGTAGTGGTTACCAGAGGGAAGGGGGTGGGTACCAAAAGGTAAAGGAGGTCAAGTATATGGTAATGGAAAAAGATTTGACTTAGGGTGGTGAACACACACTGCAATATAAAGATAATATACTTTGGAATTGCACATGTGAAACCTATATAATTTAATTAACCAGTGGCATCCCTAAAAATTTAATATAAGAATGATGGATTCGATACAACAAATCTCTGGAGAATATTTCTTATATTTCTGTAATGAGAAAAAAATTTAAGTAGAAAGAGTCCCTACTGTAGCATTAGCTGAGTCATTTAGCTGGCTCGGTGGAGGTGTCTGGAAAGCCTGGAGACTCAGCATTAACTCTCACTTCTTAGATTTCTAGATTTCTTATATTCAACTCTAAAGCTAAATACAGAGAGAATTAAGATGGTGGAGGAGTGAATGGAAGTCACACTGACCTTCTCCGAGGACCAACCTGGAATTACAATTATTGTGGAGAAGTCAACTGGAACAAACAACTGAACAATAGCGAGACAGATGTATAACCTCAGACAGACAGAAGAATCAGCTTTAGCACAACCTAACTGGTAAAGAGTGTGGTAGAGACTCGAGAAGTTGGGTGGGGCACCCACAGGCGGCAGCACCAGAAGGATATTGAAATGGCCAATTGGATCCCCCTCAGAAGAGCGAGGTCTAAACCATGAATGGGGATCTCTAGCCTACAGCACCAGAGCCCAAAAAGTACACAGATAACAACCAACTGAGAAAAGCGGCAGGGTTGCTCTCTTCCAGAGACAGGTGGCTGGAGACACAAAGAGCCTTTTAAAAGGCCAACACATAAATTTTTACTAGAAGCCACTTACCCTGGTCTCCCACAAAGGCTGGGGCAGAATGGGCTAGAGAGTCCTGAGGAGAGAACGGGGAAGGAGGCTTTGGAGAGAGAACTGAGAGAGTAGCCGGCAGGATCCTGGTGCTGACTCCTCCCCCACATGGAAGCAGCCATCTGGCTCAGGCAGATCACTCTCTTGAGTGGCAGCAGTGTGAAAGGACCCAATAATCCTGCCCCCAGGAGGAAATCTGCCCTGCTTTGTGGTGTCTAAGCTGGCCTGCTGAGTGCAGAGTGACTAGATTAACAACTGAAGGAGACAGCCACAGAGAGTAGACTCCTGGAAGTCTCGAACAGACTGCCTAAGGTGAGACAGTGTCAACATCTGACATCATCAGAGGCAGATCCAGAAAGAAAAAACAGCAGTCTCCTACCATAGAAGTTCACACCACAAAGTCAGGAAATCAAGACAGATCAATTTAAGAAGCAGAAGCAAAAAAGAAGAGTCTCACAAATAATGGAAAGACAAAGAAACAACCCTCAGTTGAAGGGAAAGGAGGAATTCTCAGAAAGAGAACTAAATGAAATAGATGCAAGTAAACTATGAGATACTGAGTTCCAAACAATGGTTCTAAGGAAGCTCTATGAGCTCAGTGATCTCAGAGAGAATTACAAAAAACTACAGCGAAACTAAGAGGAACTTACTGCAAACTATATCAGCATGAAGAAGGACATAGAAAATATCGATAAGAGGCAAGAGGAAATGAAGAATACCATTTCTGAATTGAAGAACACAGTGGAAGGAATCAAAAGCAGGCTAGATGAAGCCAAGGATCGAATCAGCAAGCTGGAGGACAAGGTATAAAAAAGCTCCCAGAAAGAGCAAGAAAATGAAAAAACACTCAAAAAGAATGAACAGGCTTTGAGGAAAATGCACGACGACCTGAAATGTAATAATATCCGTATAATAGGGATACCAGAAGGAGAAGAGGAGCAAGGGACAGAGAACCTCTTTCAAAAAGTAATGATGGAAAACTTTCCTAACTAGAAGAGAGAAAAAGTCACACAGTCCAGGAAGCACAGAGGGTCCCATTCAAGGGGAATCCAATGAGACCCCCTCCAAGACACATCATCATTAAAATGGCAAATATCAAAGACCAACAGAGAATCCTAAAGCAAGCAAGGGAGAAAGAGGAAGTAACATATGAGAAGAGAGCACCGGTAAGGCTTGCAGCTGACTCCTCAAAAAAAACACTGCAAACCAGAAGGGAGTGGCAAGAAACATTCCAAGTCGTGAAAAGCAAAGGCCTGCAACCAAGACTGCTCCGCCCAGCAACACTCTCAATTAAAATGGAAGGAGAAATATGGAGTTTCCCAGACAAAAGAAGGTGAAAAGAATACACCTCCACCAAACCAGCATCACAAGATATGCTGAAGGGACTGCTTTAAGAAGATGATGAATACCCAATTCCTTTCACAGTCACCAATTGACTTGATACTACCAATATCTGTAATACCTATTAATCTGATTGGGACTATGATGTGGTATTTTAATTGTTACTTCATTTTTTGTTGAAATTAAACCTGTTTTTGTATATTTCTGGCCTACTATTATTTTTAAAAAGCTTTAAATGACTTTTTGGTATTCTTTATCCATTTTTTTGATTAAATGTTTGTAGAATTTCCCCCACCTAAACAAAAAGAAACCCTATTAACCCTTTTTTAGATGTGTTGGAAATACTTTCCTATTCTATTACTTCTTCTTGAACTTTTTTTATATGTAGATTACTGTATAGTCTTAAATGTTTAATATGGTCATATTGTCAATATTTTACTTTATAGCTTCTGATTTGAATATTTTACTTCAGGATATGAAAAATATTAGTTTGTATTTTCTCCTAAAACTCCTTAGATTTTACATATTGATTTTTAACTCAACTGAATATTTTTTGTATAATGTGTGAAATAGGGCTCTATATTTGTTTTATTTCAAGTAATCGTGGTCCATGTACCTTATTTGTTGAATAAGCCTTATTTTCCTCATTGATTTGAAATATCAATTTAATAACATATTACACTGCTAGACAAATATGTACATTTGTTTCTAGAATATTCATTTTATTTCACTGATCTACTTGATTATTTCTGTGCTGGTGTCATGTTGCTTTAATTGCTGAGACTTTATAATGGATTTAAATTTTTTAATATTTTATAATGGAGTTTGGCATTTAAAAAATAAATAAATAAAATCAATCTGCATTTTAATAAAAAGAAAAAAAGGAGGAACTCCTACCTTTTGCGACAACATGGGTTGAACTGGAGAATACTATGCTAAGTGAAACAAGCCAGTTGGTGAAAGACAAGTACCGTATGATCTCACCTATAAGTGGGATCTATTCAATAAAATAAACTAAGGAACAAAATGAACCACAGGCATGGAAATGTGGAGCAGACTGAAAGTGCCCAGAGGGAATGGGGAAAGAGGACAATGATGGAAAGAAGGGGAAGGGACTAGACAAAGAGCATGTATGAATGACTCATGGACATGGACAACAGAGTGGGAATTGACTGTGGAAGCAGGGAGCAGGGTGGGATGGGTAGAGGAGGGCAAAGGGACAAAAATTGAGACAACTGTGATAGAAGAAACATGATTTAAAAATAAAGTGAAAAAAGGGAAATCTGAAAAACAAAATAAAGCTAAGTACATTTACTAATCTATGATTCAAGTAATAAATTAACGTAAGTTAAAAGATAAATTATGTAACTAGAGATAGCTTGTTTTAAATGTGGTTCCATAGCAATGGTACTCCTTTCATCAGATAAAAAAAATTTAGCAACTTTGTTTTCATGACTGCCTAATTTGTCTTTATAAACAGTCTATTTTCATTATGGGGAGGGATGTGCAGATTTTAGACATGTGGATTACTTGGTGGTCAACAGAACTTTGCACACTTTGTAATGAAATGTGGTTTATATAAATGAAAACATGCATGGCCATTGCCACTCACACAGAATGACTTCAAAGAACACCCAGCCAGCCAGTCTGCTCACCTTGGGGAGTTATCAGAGTTTTTCCATTCTCCTGACACCATCCAACTGGCTGGATATAAGGACTATTTACATCACACCTGCAAGAACAGCATTCCATTTAGATCCCATATTAGTCAAGGCCAGAGAAACAGTCAGAGTAATGAGCATTCTGAATATTAAGAGATACCATGGAAAATATTATTTCATAGCCAAAATGTTATTTTATAGATAAGAGAATTAGAAGTAATTTTTAGTACTATATTTTGTAAGCTGAGTGAACAAACTTCTCTTTTACATAACCTTCTTGAAATTTAAAAGTATAAAATAAAAAGTTTTTGTCTAAGACCTGAACTGCCAGTAATATTCCCAAAGAGTGAACATTTTCATCATCCTCTTCTACCACGTCTTGCTAGCAGCAAGGAAAAATATTAATAGGGCAGTCCAAATTTTAATAGGACAGACCAATCAGACCCTATATGACTACACATTTCCTCCATCTCCTTTTCAAAGAATTCAAATGATTCTACTTAAGACACATACAACAATTGATCTTTTCTCTGCTTCTCAGTTCAAAGAAGAAAACAGGGCACCCTTCATGCACATGAAGAACCACAGCGTCAGGCAGGGACTTGTTGGTTATTCAGGACATGCTATGAAGAAATGCTACCAAAATTATTTGTGCCATCCCCTTACGTATTTCAGGTTTTTGCTGAGAAAACCCTTTTAGCTCACAGAATGTTAATTCAATGGCATTGTAGCATGCATTTTCTCTCCCCTCTCCCCCTGCCATGCCCCGCTTCAGGGTTTCAAATAATTCACTCCATTCTTCCTGAATCTTCCCTTTTAAAAACATGACAGGGTGAGTTCAACATTTTTTCAGGGGGAAAAAATACTGCAAGTTCTTAAGTCCTCATCACACAAAAAACAAAAACAAAAACAAAACAAAAAAAACGCTTCCCTTACAAACTAGACAAAACACAGTGAAGTGCCCTGAACTGGTCATATTATTTCAGATGAGTTTTCATTAGGTAACCACTCATAGAATAAAGAAAATGTTTCCTGGACTCTTTAATGAGAGAAGGTTGTGAAAAGTCAGCCACTAAATTCTTGTTGTTCATACCTTTAAGAACAGAAGAACAGCAATAGTACTAAAATGAAAACAAATTCTTAACACCGAACATGAACATACAAAAATAAAACGCACAATGGTGTCTCACCAGTAATCGTAACTATCATCCCAATTGTCAAAGTGCACTAGTAAGCGATCTTCAACAATATCTGCTATGGTTGCCACACACACCAATGAAGGGTTCTTCCTGTCGACGGCCTCCAGCTTCATTCCAACCTGAAATTCTTTAGGCACTGGCTCATTCTAACACAGCACCAGAAAGAAGAGGCACAAAAAGAAACAGGACACCAAACAAGACTGAGCCACTGTCCAAACTTCTATGATGTTTAGCATCAGAAAAGTCTGTCGCGACTTATAATCCCCAATGAAGCCAGCAAATGCCAGTAAAACTATTCCCACACACTGTTGGGAAGTTTACATTCAGGACAAAGATGGAGAAATGAGCTTTTACATCGTGCTTTTCTCTTTTTGTGCAGGTAGGCTTTGTCTTCCTTATCATCGTCACTTTCTCTCTTCTTCAGTTCTTAGAGTAATTAGTATTAATTTTAAATTATGATGTTTACTGAATACAGTAGTATCAAATAATTTCCTCTGCTCCCCATAGGTTTTTGAAGAGTTTCCAAATGCCACTACTTTGGAAAAGTAATAAAGATATGCTTTTTAGCACCAAAATTACTTTCATCAGATCTAAAAATAGTGCCTTTTTCAATATTTAAAAAACACATGCACTAATCCACAAATAAAATTAAAGCTGAAAAAAATTCAAATTTCTTTATTATATGCACATGATTTTCATATTAAAAAATACTGAGGGCTATGATTTACAGTAATATTACTATGACAAAACCCCACTTTAAAAAAGCTGTAATTAGCCACTCCTGGGATTTACAAAGTATACATAAAATATCTGGGAACTAGGAGAGATTTTCTTTTCTCTACTTCTTTACTATCTATATTGAACCCAGATTTTTTGTTTTTCTTTAAGACACTACATTTTTCAAAGCAATTTTACACTTATTTCCTTAATACAATTCTATGAACCACATTGAGAAACTGTATAACACTGATTTCAAGATCAGGACACTGAAGCCTAGAAGAGTTGGCTGAGTGTCCTACACAGGGACACAGCCCACAAGTGACAAGGCTGATGTTTGACTGTCTGACCCTAGGCTTCCCCAACCCTTTCCATGATGTGTGGCCTCACTGCTGGGCCCATGGACACAAAGGAGGCCAACACTGTGATTTAGCTTCATTCTCTCCTTAAGACTTGTTAGGTTTCTGGGGACATAGATGGTATAAATGTGTTCTACCCAAATTCTCATATACCCCTTGAATCTGTATGAACTATCACCCTCATTACCATTACACATAAATCCAACTAGGCTGGGTACATTAAAGTCTACCTGGGGTATTTACTCATCTCAAACTAAGTTTATATCACTAGCTCTGAAAGTACAAAGGAAAAAAAACATTCCTAAAAGGCATTCTAAATTTTAGCAGGCTTTAAATACAGATTTTTCAACTCTACCTAATAAAAGCATTTAATTATATGTTTAAAGGGGAAAAATATGCCTATAAAATACTAGCATATTTAGTGAGAAAAGACAACCAGAAGCTAATAATTTTTAAAAGATTAAAATACAACAGAATATATAGTATATTTTTAAAAATTTAAGCTCAAGGAAAAATCTAATTTATATTGATGCAGAAAATACTTACAGAATTTCTGTTCCTGAATAATTTCTTGGGAGCATTTTGCAATTTGTAGGCCTTCAAATAATTCATCCAAACAAATTTATCTTTTCTATAACCTAAAAAAGTATGGGTTATTCAAGATAACCACAAAATGTAACCATGTGCATATTAAATATATAATTCTTATTCAGTCTTCTTCCGTAAATTAAATGTCCTTTAGCAGGCCACAAAAGATTTGAATTAAAATCTCTAGTTTCTTTCAATGTTTTCTAATGTATGAACTTCAAGGCTGTTGAGTGTGATTTCCCATCATGCATATCATTCCCTAAAAAGTTTTAAAGTTCATTAAGCTATGGAATTTGTACCCTGGTGACTTAATGGGTGTCTCATATCCCATTGGGACCTTCCAAAATGAGCAAAGGAAGGAGACTAAAGCTCCTGAGTTTGTCATCACTCCTAAAGAAGCCATATCACAAATACCATCAGAGGTCCTGATGGTGCAACAATCCAGGTACCAGATGTTCGGCGAAAATTAAAGAAATACCTTCACTATCCAAAGACCATTTGGCAGCTCCAGTTTTCTGATCCATAGCTTTAAGGTTTCCCATCAAAAAATGCATTATCATGCTATCTATGTGCCCTAAAAGTGGCTCACACGGTGCTGGCTCAATTAGAACTGGTTCAATAAATATTTTCTATGTCAGTGTTATCTTAGTATTTAGAGTAAAAGTCCAACTCCTTGCACGGCCTTCAAGCCATGGTTGCATCTCTAATTTCATCTCCTATCTTCTCACCTTCGCTTCTTTTGTAGCCACATTCATTCCTTGTGATTACTCAACTACACCAAGCACACCCTGGCTCCAGCACATTTACTCTTGCTTTTCTGACAAGTACTTTTACCCAGGAAGCCACACTGCTTTCTCTCTCGTTTCACCCATGAATCTGTCAGACATCACCTTCTCAGGCTTTCTTCTCCATGCTAAGTCAAAGAGTATCCCTGTGATTCTCTCAGTACTCTTACCTTGTCACTGCCTGACACTGACTCTTTATCTTTGTTCATTATTCTTCTCTCCTCTAGGATAAAAGCCCAATGAAGATAGAGATGCTTTATTTTGTTCAGTACTATATCCTGAGTGCCTGCACAAAGTAAGGGCTCCATCAATACCTACCAGATGAATGAACCTGTGGCTTGTTACCAGCTTCCATGAAATCCAGCAATCTTAAAGGACTCTACCATTAGTCTCAGGGACAGATTCCAAAGCTGACTACTACGAAAAAATGACTCTATACTAACTCGAGAGGTCTGTATAACTCCAGGCCATCAAATGGTTTAACATCCAAGCAGGAGATCTTATACAGAACTTCACTCTGCAAAGAAATGGTCCCATTGACATTTCAACTGGTCAAATCCTCCCATCGCTAGCACACAGAAAATAAAAAGAGTTTCAGTCACATCTGCCAGTCCCACATTCCTCTAGCACATAACAGAGGACAAGGATGAGATTTTTACTTCCCATTTAAACAGTGAAATTTTTTTTTCCTATTTCCCTGTTCTCCGCAAGTTCTGTCAGAAACAAATGACAGTGAATCAAGCTTCCTCACTGCATGGTATCAATGATTGAGATATTTCATTTCAATCATGATTTAAACATTAGTTTCTTCATTTCTTATAAGGTTTAATAAACTTTATGTAAAATGAAATACTCTCATAAGATTTTACTTCTGCCTTAGTGCCTTATCAGAATATCCAACTCAAACAATCATTGATGATTTTCTTTTAAAAACATTTATTTCTAAGAATGGTATCCTTACAGACTTATTCTTTTTTTGAAGATCAAACTTTCATTTTGGAAATTAAATCACACCAGGCCCTCAATATTATGTCATAAAAATGCTGTGAAAATAAAACAAAATAACAACTCACTCTCTTTTCATCCCGGCTTACCCTTAGGGATGTGTAGTTCATGTTTGGTCTTTTCACACCACCCTATTGGATGAATGTCAGGGGAACCAGCGTTGGTCCAAAAATCATAGCAGCTTAAATAACCATCAAAATGAAGCCTTAGACGGTAACCACACACCTGCAAAACAGAATGTTTCCAATTGTTCATTGCATCATATATTAGAAGTATACAAAAAAATTAACAAAATGTTCATATATTCTGTCAGTGCCATCAATGTACATGAAGCAATCCTTCCATCTACTTATAGATGACATCTAAATAAGACAAAATGCTGACAAAATACACTGGATTTTTTTTCTGCAAAAATAATTACCCTTTTCCTCAGCCTAGGAAACTGAGGCCAATTTACATATTTGTTAGTCAGTGAGTTTATTAATTAACTCAAATCTGTCAAATATGCCTTTCAGAAATCCCACCTAGCTAAAGTACAAAGCAAAACCCAAATAGGCATGGCCTTATTTCAACTCTTATATATAAAGCCAGCATACTCAATAAAGGAAATAAAACAGTATGATAAATATGTCCTCTAGACATGCTATATAAGTTCAATAACCATAACCAATCAGAGAATTAAGTGAACAGTGTTTTCTATGTTTGGTGTTATTAAAAATATACAGGTTTCTTATCAATTTAATAATATAAGGTGTTTAGTAAATATCACGTTTTATACGCCATTTACTTTCATCAATGAGTCTTCACACTATATAATTTTCACAAAGTGCATGTATTTGTGTAAATATATAATTCATATGCATGGATTTTTCATATGCATTTCTCATTAGTTCAGCTCAAACTTCAATAATTATATCTCCTTTAACAGACAAAAACAACATTGTGGGAGTCCCCGATTGTAATCAACCTCAGGTGAAAATTATTTACCAATTAAATCAAGAGTACCTGCTAGCGATGAAGAATTTATTAAAAAGATAATTTCAGAAGAAAAAAATCATTAAGAAACATATTTCACTCATCATTGACTAAAATAAACCTATAATGTACTAGAACTCGTTTAGAACAGAAAGCATTCAATTCATTATTCTCTAGAAAATTCTCTTCTGTCACTTGACTCTGCAATTAGTTCAAGACGATAACATCAACTCTTACCTCAGCTACAGAAAGCACACAAAATACAGCTGGATGTCGGGGGTCAATGCCTTCTAATCTCATTCCAACCTGAAAACCATTTTCATACTCTGGAAAGGATTGGTCCTACAAAATTTCATGATATAACATTAGCCACTGAAATACATTCACAATTTAATACTAAAATACTTGGTGTGGCTATACATAAAATCAAGAACTAACTGCACTAGTTTGAAAGTTCAGTAATATAGGTAAAGATATTGGATTGGATGAAAAGTTCATTTAGTATTTTTTTTAATAAAATAAAAGGCACATTTTTTATTTTCACAGATAAGTTCATTGATATGGATATTTTGAGTAAGTCAGCTATCTCCCACACGGTAGAACATTGTTCTCAATGTCTCGATTCGATTGCTCTCAACTTCAACAGGTCCACCCAACCATGGAGCATTGTCCAGCAAGAGATCTCCAGAAGGAAACTTTGTAAACCACTTTGGACAAATTCAATCAGTCACAGCACCTTCTCCACCCACTGCACAAATCTTTTTGAGCATTTCAACTGTATTTTTACCTTTCTTGAAATAATAAAGCATAATATGCAGAAAATGTTGCATATTTTCTTCCATCAATATTAAAAAGGCTACACAAAAATTCACCAATTTTGATTTTTTTTAAATTCATGCTGATTGACAGCTGTCACAATAAAACCTAACAAAATTGTTTTGAATGAAGTTAAAGACAATTAAATGCTACTACAGCCATCTTACGGGGGAAAAAACAAACTTTTTGGCCAACCCAACAGAAGGATGTTCTTATATATTTGACCCTGAAAAATTTTCATGTGCTTTGTTTGAAGTAGTTCATCTACAAAATTCTATGTCCTGTGAACTCCACATTTATTTCTTTTGCTCGTCTTTTATTAATAATTTGAAGGAGCTCTTTCTGTATTCTTGAAACAATCCTCTGTTGATTATAATGATTACCTATTCCCAGTCTGCGTCTTGGCTCTTCACTTTGTCTATGATGACCTTGTTGTAGAGAATTATTCTAAATTTTAATGTAGTAAAATATATCAATTATTTCCTATACAGTTTGTACATCTAGCCTATGAAATCCCCTGCAAACCTGAAGTTACAGGTATTTTCCTAGTGCTCTTTTAAACTTTTATTCTTCATATTTAAATCTAAAATGCAACCAGAACTGACTTTTTCTATGATGTGAGGTAGGAATGTATTTTTTCATATGGAAAAACAAGTACTGAACAAAATTTTTTTAAATAATCCACTATTCACAAAGTTACCCATTATACATATCTGTGGACCTATTTTTGGCCCTTTTATTCTGTTCACTGGCTAATTTGCTTACACTCTATCCGGATAGCAATCTTCACCATATTGAGTTTTATAATTCAGCAACATTTTCCCTCTCCATTTAATCAAATCATTTTTATCTGTCGAAAGTGTTTTTTTTAATTTTCACATAGACAACAAAAATGCTTTGTCATGCTTATTTCTGTGTACCTTTTAATCCTTATTGCTATTTTAAATGAAATCTAATTAATAGCAGACTTTCTAACTTGTTCTCATTTCATTATTATTTAGTTTAATACTGGTCTTATTTCCCACAGCCCTGCTGAACTACTATTAGTTTTGAGCAGTTTCAAGCAGATTCAGCAGTACTAGTCAATTTATTCTTAATTGCAAATAAACTTATAAGTATACTAATGGAAAATGATGACTAAAATCTAGTTCAAGAGCTGCTTTTTATTCACTAATGGTATTATTATTTATTAATGCTTAACATATTAATGCCTATTTTTAAAGTGAAATTTATTCTTTTGAGAAACTTTTCATCTGAAAATGTCAAACGTAAAGTTGCAAGAACAAAACAGTAAAGAGAATACTTATAGCCTTTGCCTGTATTAACATTCCACCTCATTTGCTGTATCATTTCCATTTGCTCCCTTGCTCTCATGTCTGTGTTTACACAAAAACAGATATATACATATGCATGTGCATATAAATCTACATATGATTTTTTCTGAATCATTCGAGAGCTCTTTGCCCCTAAATACTAAATATTTTACCGTAATAGCAGTGTATTCTTTCTAAGAATAAAAATATTCTCTTACATAAAAGTAGTTATTTATCAGCCTCTGTAAATTTAACATTTACACAACACTTTTAACTAATTTTCCATTCATATTCCAATTTTTCTGCTCTACCCAACAATGAACCGTACAACACTTTCCCATCCAGAATAAGATTCAGTCTAGGGTCAAATATTAAATTTTGTTGACATGTCTCTTTAGTCTTCCTTAATCTGGACCATTTTCCATAGCATTTCTTTAACTTTCATAATATTGAAATTTTTAAAGAACATACTCTTGCCCCTACTCTATTTTATTAAAATAGACAGTTCCCCATTTTGGATTTGTCTGATGTTTTCCCATAATAAGATTCAGGTTATGCATTCTTTTGCTAATATACTACATGGGTGATGATGTGTCTTTCTCATGATTTGATATCTGCAGCCACATGATGTTCATGTGTCCCCTCATTGGTGATCTTAATTTTGATCGCACAACTAGAGTGTTGTCCAGTGTTGTTCAATTCCTTCACCATACAGTTGCATACAGATCAAACTTATACAATCATATATAAATATGTACACATGTACATATATCTATGGATATATATTTTTATAAATCACAAATTCAAACATTCAACTAATTCCAATCCATCCCAAAGGGCTTATTCTGCCTTTTTCCATTCATATATGTATTTTCCCTCTAACAAGGTCAACACATTTACTCATGTGCTAACTCCTATAGTATGTCTATTTTAGGTTCAGAATTGTTTTACCCACACTACTACAATAAATAAATATACCTAAAAAAAGAGTTTAGGATTTGTTTGGAATTTTCCCTCCCTGCTCTTCTGCCATCCACAAATTAGGTATATAGGTATATAGTGTATATGTCTGTATATGTGCATGTGTGTGTGTGTGTGTGTGTGTGTGTGTGTGTGTGTGTGTATATATATATATATATATATGTCTGTCCAGCAGGTACCCAGACATGTAATATGAAAAACACAGGCATTTTTTGAAGAAGATACAAGAAATATTGTACATAGGACAAATCACCTCAGTCCCCTTCAAAGTAAGCACCTTAGGACCTCACCCAGTTCTCCCAATCACCATCAACTGCCCCATCATATATTCTTGAACCTCATCAACAGTCTAAAATCTTTTCCCTTTCAAAGGAGATTTTAGTCTTGGGAAAAGCCAGAAGTCACAGAGTGCCAAATCTGGGCCGTAGGGATGCTGGGTCACCTTGGAGATTTGATGTTTTGCTAAAAAAACTATGCAAGAGATGTGATTTATGAGCATGTCCATTGTCATGATAAAGCTGCCAATCACCAGTCACCCATAGCTGTGGCCTTCTGAATCATCTGAATAGTTTCTGCAGAGGAATGTTCAAGCTTTATGCAAAATCTGATGCAGATTCATTGCTTTACTTACTCAGTCATTTTGAATGCTATGGCCATACAGTACACATGCTCACTCAAAGATGCCTACCACCTGCACTGACTAGTACAGTAAAGTCGTCATTGTTCACACATATGCATTCCAGTCCACTCTCCTTAGCTGCCAGGTTACATCAATATCACCATTCCAGCCCATTCTTATTAACAATGGCTGGAATTTCTATGGACAGGCCTTGGTATATTTGGATTCATTCTTGTTTTTGTTTCTTCAGTGCAGTTATGGTATTCATTTCAAATACTATTGAGTTAATTTGCTTCAACTTCTTTCAGTTCCTAGTGATTTATTTTTATATTTTAATATGCAGAATGTTAACATGTTTCCAAAAGTTAAAGCTATATGAAAAGATACTCAAAGAACTTTTTCTCCTTCCCACGTCCTCCCCATTCCACCTCTTGTGCATAACCAACCTTGCTGTTTTCTGGTTTATCCTTCTTGGGTTTCTATATGTAAAAATAAGTAGCTATTTTTTTCCTTCACTTTCCCTTCCTTCTTAGAAAAAGTAGCATAGTATACACACTGTTGTCTTCCTAATGTCTTCCTAATGTCAGGTCATAACGATTGTCTACAGTCTTTTTTATAACAGCATTGTACTTCACTTTGGGTGGGTTCCATAGTTTATTCACCCTTCTTCTACAATACTTGGGTACATGCCTTTTTTGTAAGAATACAAAATTGTTTTAAAATATTTATGAATTGTCTTGTAAAATGTCATTAAAATTTTTCTTATATTCACAGATCATCTTAGAAGCTTCCAAGGGAAAAACTTAAAAGATAACAAAACCCAAAAATGAAATCTCAAGAATGAATGATTATTCAGGAATATTTTATTTCTACCAAAATAAATGTCATGTGTGTGTTTAATTCTCCCAGCCTTCTTCTCACATCTAATCTCTTTTCTAGCAGATTGTATTTAACAAGTATTGTGTGACTACTTCATGTTCATTGTTTGGAAATTTCTGTTAACTTTAAAAGCACCTCACACATATACATATACTTACACACAACAATGATAAGAAGGCAAAAGGAAAGAAGAGGCCTCAGGGGGAGTATATTAATAATGCTGAAAGAAAGTTTAAGAAGCTGTAGAAACTGAAAGAACATTTTTAATGTTTCAACAAAACTGATGCAAAATCAGAACCATAATGGGCAGACAATACCTTCTTATCACATATGAATGATAAATTCAAAACACTGGCAACAATTCATAGTTGGGAATCAGAATGATCAACATTACCTTGTCAACATTTCAAAATGGTTTCTCAATTGAACATTTGGGAGCCTTAAATAATGTCTCAAGGAACACTATGTGGCTAAAATGGCCACACCATTCTTTGAGAGTTTCTTTTTTTTTTCTTTTTTCTTTTTATTGTTGTTCAAGTACAGTTGTCTCCATTTTCCTGACACCATTTTCCCCCACCCCACCCACCCCCACCTCCCACCTGCAATCCTTCCCCCCTTTGGCTTTGACCATGGGTCCTTTATACATGTTCCTTGATGACCCTTCCCTTACTTTCCTCTATTATCCTCCTCCCCCCTCCCTTCTGGTTACTGTCAGTTTGTTCTTTATTTCAATG